GCACAGCGAACCCCTGGCCTGTCTTGGAGGCCTCCTCACTCAGGGGCTCATACCTTCCAGCACAATCCGGAATCTTCCACGGTCTCCCTACCGACAATTTGCTATAGCCCTTCCCCAAGGGGCCTAGTTTACTCCCGAGGCGTGAAGCCAGCCTCCTCCCCACAGTCGCCCACGCCCCGCCAGGCTCCCGCCCTTACCGCGGCCCGCTCACGACGACTCGCTCTTCTCTATCCGCCGCACCAGCTGCACCAGCATCTCGGCCATCTTCGCCATCTCCTGCGCCTTCTCCTCGGCCTTCTCTGCCCTGGGGCCGCGGGGATCGGCGCCGCCCGCGCCCTGCAGGTGGTTGAGGGCGCTCTCCTCAGAGGCCTCCACCTGAGTCTTGATCTGGATCAGCATATTGTCCATCTCCCACAGCTTGCCCCGGTTGCGCGCGGGCGCGCGCCCGCGCTCGCGCGTCAGCGACGCGATGTCCTCGCGCATCTCGTGGATGACGGGCAGCAGAAACTGCTCGAAGTCCTCCTCGGGCTCCAGCACCTCCACCTCCTCGGGCTCCGCCAGCTCCACCGCGTCCAGGGGCCGCATCTCCGTCGCTTTGCTCGTCCGCGGGACACTCAGTGACAAGGCTCGGGCCGAGTCCTCAAAACTTCCGCCGCTGTTCAACTTTCCACCTCGGAGAAGCCACGGAGACGAGTGACTGCCGAGCAGACGAGCGGCTAACAAAATGGAGTCCCCAACCGTCAACCAGCGCTCCGGGCCTTGCGACCCCTTTCACGACACCACCGCGCCCCTCTTTACGGTCGCGCTGCGAGGTGCGGGCGCGCGCACGTCTATGAAGGGGCGGGGAGAGCGACTCCGCGGCCGCGCGCAAGCATCAGATCTCCATCCCTGCAAAACTCTAGGAGCTGTTCGAGATGTTGCCAAGTCTTCGCTGTATCTTATTCTGATTTATTTATTTACTTTTTGAAACAGGATCTCACGCTGTAGCCAAGGCTGCCCTGGAACTCAATTGTATGGCTTAAACTGGTCTTAAACTCTCAGCAAACCTCTTGCCTTGGCTTCCCGGATTGCACGCCTGATAAGTTTACTAAATAAATAAGTAAACAAATGAAGGAAGGAAGGAAGGAAGGAAGCCCAACGTGGTGGCTCACGAGTTTAATCACAGCAACCCATGAGGCAGAGAGGCAGGCAAATCTCTTGAGTTCCAGGTCAACCTGGCCTGTATAGTGAGTTCCAGTACAGCCAGGGCTACACAGAGAAACCTTATTTCAAGACAAAATAAAAACAGCAACAACAAAGAACAGCTTTCCTAAAGTGGGGAAGGAGGAATCTAGGGAATCTATAGTGAGGGCAGTCTTCCTGCTCATAGACCATCTTCTTTAGCCAGCGCTCAGCTAGTTTAAGGCGTAATTGTCTTACCTTGACAGAAGTGCCTGTTTTTTTTTTTTTTTTTTACCAGACAGAGCTCTTGGCGTCCTGAGGTGAAACTTCTGTCTGCTGGGTTCTGAGGCCCCATCTGAGCAAAGTTCACTTTGGTGATCAGTTAGTGTGGAAAAGACAGAAGTTGGTGCACACAACTAAGTTTGCTTAACAGTCACTTTGAACATTGAAGTTTATGGAAAGATGCAGAATTCTTAGTCTAATAACCAGACAGCACTTTCTCAAGAAGCTGAACTACTATGTATCTGGCTAATTTTCTAGCCATGAGTCATGAAACCAGTGTAAATATCAAACATAAGCATATATAAAGTGCATATCTTTTTAACTGTGCTCTTAGAGTCTTTACACTCAGTAGCTTTTACTTAAAAAAAAAAAAAATCCAGCCTTTAGGTTTTCTTGACACCAGAGGAAGACAGGCCATTTGAAAAATGAAAGGAGTTAATGGCTTGGAAGAGCAAAGAGATTCTGTTGTACACCTGTGATAGTTAGGAGAGCAGAACCTGATATGGGGATAGGCTGGTCAGCATGGATCCTGGGAAAGTCTCTCTCTCTCTCTGACTGGTGTGAATGTGATCTCTATTGCCAAGACAACTTCCACTGTGCAACAAGAGAATGGAGGCTTTTTAGGGCAGTGAAGGTGCTCTGAGAGACGCAGAAGTGGTGCATGCATGTCATCCCACATTGGTGTGATGCACAGTTTCCAGCACCGATTGTGAACCCTAACAGAAGCACAGACTGCTGATAGTGCTGCGTGCTGTGGGCTCACCAGTGCTAACAAGGCTTCACTGGTGTAGGATTGTTGGTGGAGGAAGTCGGGGCCCATGTGGGAACTCTGTGCATTCCACTCACTTTTACTGGGAACCTGAAAGCCCTGTGAAAAATGATGTGAAAGGGGATGGGACAGGCTGGGGAGCTTGCTGTACAAATGTGAAGATCCAAGTGTTAGGACCAAATAAAATGATGTTATGCACAGATTTTATATGAAAGAGGTTTATTGGTTGGAGATGAAGAGAGAGAAGGAGAGAACAAGACATAATAGGGGGAAGAGAGGAGGGAGCCCCAACAGAGGAAGGGGAGAGGGCAAGAGAGGAGAGGGCAAGAGAGAGACAAAGTGGCGGGTTGGTCTTTTTAAGGAGCAACCTAACCACACCTGCCAGGTGTGGCTATCTGGCAAAGGACACATGATGACATCACAGGTTGCTAGGCAACCCAGAAGCAGGCTGCCTAAATACTAACATTCCTCCCTTTTTCTATAATTAAAAAAATGAGGAGCTTGGGCTGCTTCTCATGTAAGTTAAGTTAAAGTGTATAAATGAAGGTTCATTGGAAGCAGCTCTTGGTTGCCATGCAAGGGGGTGAGAGAGAGAAAAAAAAATAGCAACAAAATGTCCAGATTACATGGTCAAGAGGAAGAGGGGAAGCCCCTGCCCTGGAAAGTTCAGGGTAGAGGGTTGTCAGTAGAGAGTTGCCAACTACACAAGGCAGCAGGTAGGGACGGAGGAATGCTGGGAGAACTTGCAGCTGCTTGTCCTGGGCCTGAAACACACCATTCCAGCCTTTTGTTAATAATAAGTGAATAATGGGTGTAGATTCTCTTCTGGCTACTGGGGCACTATTGGGAGGTCAAAAGGCTGAAATGCTGGCCAAGTCCAGGAAGAACAGGCTGTTTTGATGCTGCCCAGAGTCTATGAGAACATCCATGGCTGGGAGGAAAAGTGCAGGTCCAGCTTGATGGAAGTCTGTGAGGTCAGACTGGAACTTGTGGTAGCTGCTTTGGCAATGTTGTGGATATAAGAAATACCTGGGTCTGACAGGATACTGGAACATATTTACAGGCAGAAGACAAGTAGGTTATAGAGAGAAATTCTTTAGGTGTACATTTAAAACTTTTGAGAGAGCAAACCAAGACAGAAGAAGAGACTTGAACATGGGAACCTCCATTTACCCGAGGGAACCTCCATTTACCCAATCCCTGGCAGTAATTAAAAAGGCTTTCCTTTGATCTGTCATCTAAGGAAATTGAGGCCAAGTTTGGTTACAGAGGTGTGTAAGATTAGAGGACCTTAAAGCAGGCAGTAGGTGTAGAAATCTGAAATTCTCCAGAAGACATCCCAGAGTATAATCTGGAGGAATGGAAGAATGGACTATTCCAATTGGGCAGGTAGGAGTCAGTGATCTCTCAAAGCATCCCAAGAGCAGGGTTTGACTCAGTAGAGTAGATTGGTGCATTCTGTTACAACAGCTCATCACTGTTGGCCAGAGACCAAGGGCACAGTTGCCCGTAGCAGACACAGTTTACCTAGGTAGGATTTTCGTAGACGAGTGAGAGGGGGAGGGAGAGAAACCATGGCGGTAGAGGGAAAGTCTTACCCAAGGGAGAAGGAGGTCCTAGATGAAGGATTTGGATGTAGGTTGGCAAGAGCATTTGGTAGGAAGCATTTGCACCAACCAGAAGGGAAGACTCACCAAATAGCTGATGTTGGGTGTATGAATGTAGCAATCAATAGCCAGGAATTGATACCAACCTGAAGGGAAGACTCACCAATCAGCTGGAGTTGGATGTAGGCATGCAGCAATCAAGTAGCAAGGAAAGGAGACAGCCTGGTCTCCTGCATATGAAGAGAACTGAGAAGGCATCTGAGATCTCCCAAGGCAGAAGTTGACAATATGTCCCTGGGACCCCAGTGTGAGGCCAAAATAGACCTTCAATGTTACCCTGGGCTTGGTGAGGGTGGTGGAGGTCGCTGAATCAAGGAGCCATTTGTCCCCTGCCAGGCCAAGGAGCTCAAAGGCTGGAAATGTCTATGGCTCTTGTGCTTGTTGAGCCTTCATGGCTGGGCACAGAAAACAAGCCTGCATGGGAGCATTTCAACTTCCAGAGGCCAGTCTGCCAGCAGGTAGTCATGGCTTGTTGAGGCAGCTGCGGGACCAGTGTCCCCTTTGGCTGCATTTGAAACAGTCACCTGGTGGAAATGACTTTTGGCTATACCCTGGCAGGATAGGACATTGCAGACTTCTTGTTTTTGGTGAGGGAATGCCAACAGCCTCAGAGCAGCAGCTAAGGTCTGGACCATAGTTTTTTTTGCTATAGATGAACCTGTGGGGAAGGCTCTTCTCTTATTATTTTTAACTGCTGCATCGTTACTCAAGGACCATCCTTAGCTATTTATTAAAGACAGCAGTGAGACCATGTTTGCATCTGTAGGACTATATGTGTTTGGACATGTTAGAGGACTTGATAACCTATGAGATGACTGACTATTAACTTGCATTTGTTAACCATCAAATATTAGGACTTTAGGTTTTGACCCTGTTAAGTTGGAGCCTTAAAAGTCATAAATATAATCCATTAAAGTGAGAGCATGACAGTTTTCTGTATGATTTAGTATATGAAAAGTTCATAGCTTATAAACATCTAAGACTATATTATAGATTAATAATAATACCATTTTTAGAAAACAAGACCAAGCATATTTTAACCTTTTGATAGTGAAGATATAGCCCAATGATCAAGTTTTTTTTTCCTCGCAGTTCTGCAACTTTATTTGACATTCAGTAGGTTAGTTCTCATTCACATTGACCATCTGTAGATTTTTGAATGTGGTTACCGGCACATAAGTTACCAACGTGTAGAGCTTGTTTGTTGAATCCTCATGTTCATTACGTTTTCTGGACAAACGAACTCGGATGTAATATGGAACATTCCTTATTTCTTTGGCCCAGACAGCTTTTTTGAGCCTTTTATCTATGCACACATCTGGAGTCCCCATCTCCTTCATGGCAAACTTCCAAATTTCTTTGAGCTCCCAGGGAACATGCTTCTTGAAACCCACTCCATGCATTCGCTTGTGGATGCTGATGGTGTACTTCCTGGTCACCACCTCCTGGATGGCAGAGCAGGGACTCATCTTCTCGCCACCCTTCTTTGCGGGAGCCATTCTGCCAGAGCCAAGTTGGAAGGCAATGATCAAGTGTTAATGTAAATAAATGCCTCTAAAATTAATAGATCTTAATTTAGAGTATTGGTAAAAACTTGTACATATTAACCCCTGAGTTAAGAGTTTTAAAGCCAACAATATAGTAGAATAACATAAAGCAATTTTAAAATTACATTTGAATTTATTATAGCCAACTTATTAGCCAGAAAGCATAGTGGAGAATCTGGATCATAGGCAGCTCATGGCAGAAGAAACAGCATTTATTAATTTAGGAATTGATAAAGACATAGGTAGTTAGACGTATATTTTAAATTAACTTAATTTGAATAGACTTTTATAATTTTGAAATTTTAGCATTATATAAAAATTATTTTGAGCCAGGGTTGAATCATATATATTATAAAATATAACTTTGAATTTTTATAAAAATCCATATTAATTTAAAATGAGGCTTGCTGCTGTCCTAATCTAAAAGGAGAGAACAAAAAACGAGAATTAATTATGATTAAAATTGTTCATACCACATGATCACCTTAAGGTTTACAGTTTAATTTTATGATTTTTTTTCAATACTATAAAAAGGAAACCAGAGAGGATATTTAGTGAGATAGCAGGCTGAGAGAAACTGAAGGGACCTAGCTTGAGGACAACCAAGAAACCTGGGAAAACTGGGAACTTTCCACTAATTGCCAAGTGCAGAGTACAACCTCTTCCCACTGCCCCCCCTGGGGGACTCAAACCCAAAAACCCCAAGGAAATAGATGCAGGCAAAACATCTGCATAGACCATTGCAGGAGAAGGCCTCAAGGACACAGATGGGGGCAGGCAGTCCTTGGAGAAACTGCAACGTGGGCAGCTTGACCCTGAGCACACTGGCCACCCTCCCAACTAGAAAGTCCCAAGCACGAAGCTAGACCCTAAATATCCACCAATGAAAAACTGCCCTGTTGCTATTTCCAAAGTTGCCCTTAAAAACCTAAAACTTTTGTTCCCGGGGTCGCCTTCCCTTGCGGTGCAGGATGACCCCAATGTGTTGGTTTCAATAAACCTCTTGCTGTTTGCATCAATCAGGTTGGTTGATTGGTTGGTCAACCAACCAATTGGTTGGTCCTTTTAAGAAGCAATGTAACCACACCTGCCAAGGTGTGGCTATCTGTCAGGTGACACAAGATGACATCATAGGTTGCTAGGCAACCCAGAAACAGGCTGCCTAAATACTAATGCCGAGTGGTCTCTGTATCTCACTGGGGGCCTCCCTGGTAACGTAGGACTCCCCCGAGTCTTACAAAACAAACTAGACTTTAAGAAAAGAGAAATAGGAATTTTTTTTTTTTACTTGACGGGAATTGTTTTTTTTTACTTCACGGATTGCTTTTAGTGTTATTGGATATTACTGGATATTAAACATTTGAGTAGGGCAAATATAGACATAGAAGCCAGAGGTTTCCCTAAGAGGAGAGAATATGGGGAAACCATTCCTGTGAATGAGAAAGGGGAAATGGGAATGGACCAAGCAGCTAGTGGTTCATCAACCAAACCAGGTCATGGGCTTAGCCCAGCTAAGCCTGAGAACCTCAGTGCCTGGTACCAGGGCTTAATCAGCAGTAAGGCCGAGTTCTCATAGAGGGATTCTCATGCACAGGAAAGGATAGGGGCAGATAGGCAGCTTTAGAATGGAGGTAGGAAGGGGAACAGTGGCCTTTTAGGGCCTATAAGAGACTGTAATTTAGCAACTCTGAAAACAGTGGGAAAGAAACAAAGTAGTAAAAGCAGCTGGCAGTGAGGGAAACCACAGAATTTTTGTTTGTTTGATAACCAACATGGCAACCAATCTTGTGACTGTTCTTAACTGCCCTAAGTTAAGATGACAGTGAACCATGTGCTTGCCCTTAGTGGAGATGGCAGCAAAACCCTGGTTCCACCCTCCTTATCCCAAAACCAACATGGCAGCTAGCCATGTGCAGTATTTGGCCATAGTGGCATAATGAGACCAGGTGCTTGCTGGTGGAATGGCTGTCTCGGCCTGGTTTGAAACTCTCAGCATGTGCGTGGCATGGCTGATCGGGAGTCTGTGCAACTGAAAACCATCCTCTGCAAGCCAGCCTCTCGAGGCAGGCATTCCGAGGGAGATCTAAAATCTCGCCTGTGGAGCCTGAGGCAGCGTACAATCTAAAGCCATCTATCTGTGTGTGCACAGAGAGGACCTAAAACCCCTGCTCAGATGTAGCAATTGCTTACCTAATAGCAATAGTTTAGAAACAGGCTGTGTCTGTGTACAAAGAGGCAGTTTCAGCATCTGGTACGCGCATTTTAATTTCCCCAAGCCAATTTTGGTGCAGCGTGAGTATCTGCCATGCCCTCAGTGTTTGGAGCACCTGGCAGGTTGCCGAGTCCAAGCAGCTTTGAGTAGAGGGCCAGGTGTGTGCGGTAAAGGCAGGGAAGTTGAAAGAAAGTGTAGGTTTTAAGGCTTAGGTGGTTGAGTGGTGGTTAGGGATAGATAGAATAGAAAAAAAAAATCTGTTGCGGGCATCAGGGTCCGATTAAAGGGGTCCTGGCATGACCAGACCAGGTGCTACCAGGAGAGCCCTTCTTGGCCAAAAGCACCAATATGAGGACCAAATAAAATGATGATGTGCACAAATTTTAAATGAAAGAGGTTTATTGGATGGAGATGAAGAGAGAGAAGGAGAGAGCAAGACATAATAGGGGGAAGAAAGAGGGGCACCCCAACAGAGAAAGGGGAGAGGGCAAGAGAGAGACAAAGTGGCCGGTTGGTCCTTTTAAGAAGCAATGTAACCACACCTGCCAAGGTGTGGCTATCTGTCAGGTGACACAAGATGACATCATAGGTTGCTAGGCAACCCAGAAACAGGCTGCCTAAATACTAATGCCAAGTGCAGACCCTCATTATTCATGTGGTGAAGAGGGTGCAGTGGCTCATGTCTGTAACCCCAGTACTTTGTGTGTGTGTGTGTGTGTGTGTGTGTGTGTGTGTGTGTGTGTGTGTGTAAACAGGTAGATTCCCAAGCTTTCTGGCCAGCAAGTCTAGCTCCAGAGCTGGAGAGCTCCAGAGAGGTCCAGCATCAGAGGGTCAGGGAAAAGCCCTGTCCCCAGAAGAATAAGGTGGAGAGGAATAGAAAAAGACACCTATGTAGACCTCCGCTCTTTACACTTAGACAATTGGACACACGCACACACACACACACACACACACACACACACACACACACCACTGGTCAGGACCAAATGACTTGCTGTTTCACCAGCAGGGCATAACACGCATGCAGTGTTCATCATGTGTCGCTTGGGCACCGCTTTGTTTTCTGTTTGTATTTTTTTTTTTTTTGCATTTATTTTGTGCAGAGTAGGGTGGGGAGGAGGTGCCCTTGTTCTTGTGGGTTCATGGAAGGTAGAGGGTAACTTACAGGAGTCAGTTCATTCGTTCCTTCCACACATGGGTCTGAAGAATCAAACTCAGGTTTTAGGCTTGGCAACAAGTACCCTTAACTGCTGAGCCTCGCACTATCCCTCTGTACCCCACTGCTGTGTGTGGGTGCGTGTATGTATGCCTGCATATGTGTGTGTGTGTGTGTGTGTGTGTGTGTGTGTGTGTGTGTGTGTAGGATTATGGTGGAAAGAGAGAGAGAGAGAGGTGGCAGAAGCAGGAGGATTGTTGGGGCTTGCTGGCCTCCAGCTCAGCACCAGGCTCAGGAGAGATCCTGTCTCAAAGAAATAAAGTGGAGAATTATAGGGAGTAGAGCAGGTTACCAGGCATTTTCCTCTGGCCTTTTCATGTACCCACCGATGTGTGTACCCCCTTCACGTGGGAATACACCACACACACATATATACAAGCACACAAAACAATTAATTAAAATTTAAAACAGAAAGCCCGGTGTGGTAGCACGTGCTTTTAAACCCAGGACCCAAGAGGCAGAAGCAGGCAGGTCTCTGTGAGTTCAGGGCCAGCCTGGTGTACATAGTGAGTTCCAGGACAGTCAGGGTGACATAGTGAGACCTTGTCTTAAAGGAAAATAAAGATGTTGAGGGTGCAATTTTTCGGTCTACTTGATCTGGCAGCCTCGGGGCATGGCAGCAGCTCCTGGACAATAAGCATGGGTGCAGTATTTTCAGCGGTAAACAACCTACAGATGCAGAGCCTTGTTTCTGCAAGCTGGAGATGGGAGAACACTCTGTCCTAGAAGTGGCAAGGCAGGCCATGTGGAGAAGAACTGCAACTCCAAGCCCTGGGGTTCGGGTCCAGACCTGCAGAGGGAGAGGTGGCAAATTCTGTTAGCTCTTGATGCCGTCAGGAGGAGTGATCCTATACGCACTGTGCTTAGAAGCTTGGAGCATAGAGCTACCTTCAGTGACTTCCAGAAACAGCATGGGCCTGGATACTTGAGAGGAAGCTGCTTTCATGACTGTGGTTCTCAAGCTGCTGCTGGCCTTGAGAGCAGATACTCCAGGCCTGAGATACTTCATTTTCAAGGTTGGAAGGCATTTGGTGCCTTGGACTAAATGTGACCCTTTTCAAATCCATCTGTTGGCATCCTAACCATTACTTGGATAACAGGTCCCCTCAGAGGCACGAACACCTAGGTTTAGTCTTGAGTGTGAGATCCTCATGGTATGTTTAATGTCCTTAGCTGTACAGTAGTGGTGCATGCCTTTAAACCCAGCCTCAGGAGGCAGAGGCAAGCAGGTCTCTGTGAGTTCAAGGCCAGCCTGGTCTACAGAAGAGTTCCAGGACAGCCAGGGCTATACAGAGAAACGCTGTCTTGAAAAATCAAAAACCAAAAAATGAAGATTGAAAAGAATAATGTTCTTACCAAAAGAGACACAAGAACTCAGTCTTGCCCTCTGCTATCTATCATGTAAGGACATATTATGAAGGCAGCACTCTGCAAAACAGCCCCAAACAGGTATCTGTTGACACCTTGCTCTTGAACTTGAAGCCTCTAGAATTGCAAGAAATAAATGCCTAGCCTCTGGTAGTT